TGACCAACCGGTTGTGTAGTTCCGCTCTTGGTCCCGCCCCCATGTTGAAACTGCCGCTTCGGATCGCGGAGTAACGCTGGCCAGGCGTCCCGGCCTGCCCCTCACCTGACCAATCAGGACGGCCGGCGGAGGCCCAGCCCCCAGCCGGCGACCCAGGGCGGTTCAGGCGGCGGCGGCGGCGGCGGCGGCGGAGGCGGAGGCGGCTGCTGCGGCGCGGATCGGAGGATTCTGCCGGGTGAGTGAGGGGAGGCGGCACTGAGGTGGAGCGGAAGGGCTCTGCAGCAGGCCCCACGTGCATTCCCGCGAGGGGCTCGGTGGCTGCAGTAGAAAAGAAGGGGAGGCTGCGTCTGCCTCTGCCGGGGTCCCGCCTCGGCGTCCGCCCGCTGGGTCTCTGTTACCTCTGCGGCCCTGGTGTTTCTGGAGCGTCGCTTTCCCGATGCCTCTGCTCAGTGTTTCCTTTCCAAAGCGCGACCAGGGCCAGGGGAAGGCAAGGCCAGCTGTGCCCTTTGACCCCGTGCGAAAGCGGCGACCCTCTGATACAGGGGTGTGGCCCAGAGCTACTTGGTCAGTTAGGGGTGGGGGCCGGGATCTTTGTCCTGCGAATCAAGCAGTTGGCCCCCCTTGACTGCATCTCCGTGCCCCCCAGCCCTGTGGGGTCATATACGTGTGGGAGGGTCCCTGGGTAGTAGGCTTCTTTCTGCTCCAGACCTTGCACCCGATCCTGAGGATACTTGGAGGTGGGGGGCAAGGGCTGGGAGGAGGAGGCGGAGTTTTCCCAGGCTCCCCCACACTTCCAGGGAAAGGCTTTCCAAGAAACCTGAACTCATCTACCCTGGAGTCAAATTTGGTTCAGATCTTGCCTCTTGCTAGCTGTGTGACTTGAGGCAAATTGCTTAACTTCTCTGAGCTTTGGTTTCTTCATTTGTAAAAAGAAAGTGAAGGAGGAAGGGAGGGCAGGAAAGGAGGAAGAATCCCTTTTGAAGCCTGGTTTGTATTGGGTTCACCAGTTATAAAGCACGGTTGTCCAAACCACTGCTTAGGAGGTGGAGGCTGCAGTGAGCCTGGAAAAAAAGGAAGCATGACCTTGCCCCAGCCATTTTGGTAATAATAGACGTTTATTGAATGCTTACTATGTACCACTGTAAGCACTGTATTAAGTAAGCATTGTGCTAAGTACTTTGTTTTTTGTATTTTGTGTGTGTGTCAGTCTTGCTTTCACCCAGGCTGGAGTGCAATAGTGTGATCTCTGCTCACTGCAACCTCTGCCTCCCAGGTTCAAGCGATTCTCCTGCCTCAGCAGCCTCCTGAGTAGCTGGGATTACAGGCACCCACCACCATGCCTAGCTAATTGTTTTGTTGTTGTTGTTGTTGTTGTTGTTGTTTTTGAGATGGAGTCTCACCCCATCACACAGGCTGGAGTGCAATGGCGCGATCTCGGCTCACCACAACCTCGGCCTCCCAGGTTCAGGTGATTCTCCTGCCTCAGCCTCCCGAGTAGCTGGGATTACAGGCGCGCATCACCACGCCCGGCTAATTTTTGTATTTTTAGTAGCAACAGGGCCTCTCGCCATGTTGGCTAGGCTTGCCTCAAACTCCTGATCTCAAGTGATCTTCTGCCTCAGCCTCCCAAAGTGCTGGGATTACAGACGTGAGCCACTTGGCCTGTTTTTTGTATTTTTGTTTTTCATTTTTTTTTTACAGTGATGTGACCATGGCTCACTGCAGCCTGGGCCTTCTGGGCTAAAGCGATCCTCGAGTAGCTGGGGCCACAGACGAGTGCCACCACGGCTAGCTAATTAAAAAAAAATTTTTTTTTTTGTAGAAAAAATGTTTCTACAAATGTTGCCCAGGCTTAACATGCTTTCTTTAATTCTAACAACAATCGTATGAGGTAGGTACTGTTGTCTTCCAGCAGATGAGGAAACTGAGGCACAGAGAAGTTAAATAACTCGCCTGAGGCAGTACAATTAAAAAGTGTCAAATGGGGGTCTCTGGCACCACAGGGCACCCTACTGAGCCCCGTGTCCTGCTCTCTTGACTTCAAGTAGAAGAGCTGGGGCAGGAACCCAGCCCTGAGGACATCCTGTGGCCCAGGGGCAAGTGACACCTGCTGCAGGAGGCCCAGGATGGTGGAGGCTGAGGACCTGGCGCAGCTGCGGCTGCTCAACCTGGAGCTCCTGAGGCAGCTGTGGGTGGGGCAGGATGCTGTGCGGCGGTCAGTGACCAGGGCAGCCTTAGAGGTACGTGCCTGCCTTGGGAACCCCAGAGGAAGTGGCTACCTGACCTTCAGGCCAGCGTCCAGGCTTCTGGGCTCATCTTGTTCAACACCCCCATTTTACTGATGATGGGATATTGAGGGCTGGGGAGGCAAGAGACTGGCCTTAGTCACTGCTGAGGCCAGAGCAGGATGAGGACACAGGCCTTGGTACCTGGCGTAGGACCCGTGGGTATGTTCTAGCAGCCACTACCTGGGTGACCCCGCCCCTCTCTCCAGTCAAGCCTGGAATCCAGCAGCTACAATTCAGAGACTCCATTGACCCCAGAGACGTCCTCAACTTCCTTGAGCACCTCCTGCCCACGGGGCCGGTGTCCTGTGTGGAGCTCACCAGATGCCTGCCAAGGGGACCCCCGTGATGTGGCCAGATCGGGGGTGGCCTCTCTCCCACCTGCCAAATGCCAGCACCAGGAGTCCCTGGGCCGACCGAGACCCCACTCAGCACCCTCCCTGGGCACCTCAAGCCTGAGGGACCCAGAGCCCTCAGCGGGGCTAGGTGATCCAGGACCCCAGGAGGCACAGCCCCCGAGGTCCATCCTGGCTCAACAGAGCAAGCTGTCCAAGGTAATGTGGGAGAGCGGGACATCTGCTGATGGGAGGAGCTTCCTTGGGGCTCAGTTTCCCTATCTGACACATGTGCTTGTGGGCATCCTCCCTTGCAGAACAAGAGGCTCCTGGGAGATACTGTGAGTTGGGTCTGGCTCAGCCTAAATGCTCGCTAAGCGGTAGCTGTGAGTTTCTCAGCACTTTGAGAAGAGGCCTGGCTTTGTTCACAGCCACACATAAAGTGAGGTCAAACATTTCCCTTCTTGCTCTTGTGACCTTGGCTGAGCCCTGGGCTCCAAGTCAGGGTGTAAGTTGACACACAGTCTCTCTGTCCCTTGAGGTGCGGCTTCCTCTGGGCCAGGCCTCCTGGCTTAGTCCTTGCCCCTCTGTGCTTCCCTCCTCAGCCCAGGGTGACCTTCTCTGAGAAGTCTGCAGTTCCTGAGAGGAGCTGGCGCCTCAGGCCATACCTGGGCTATGACTGGATTGCAGGTAAGGCCTGCTGCTGCCCGGCACACACTTGGCCTGGGAGTGGGAGGTGGAGGCCTGGGCTCCTCCATGCTCCTATCTCAGCCTCCACCCGGTGCTGTTGCTTGTTTCTCTGATGACCGTGCCATCCTCCTTGGGGAGCACCCAATTTTTTTTTTTGTTTTTTTTTTTTTTTTTTTGAGACAGAGTCTTACTCTGTTACCCAGGCTGGAGTGCAGTATGTGCGATGTTGGCTCACAGACCTCCACATCCAGGTTCAAGTGATTGTCGTCCCCGCCTCCGAGATAGCTGGGATTATAGACGAGCACCACACGCCTGGCTAATTTTGTGTTTTTTAGTAGAGATGGTATTTCCCCATCTTGCCAGGCTGGTCTCAAACTACAGCGCTCAAGATATCACCTACGTTGGACTCCCAATATTGTGCTAGTCGGATAAAAATTACAGAGAGTGAGGCCAATTATACTGTAGCGCACAATGAGGCCCCTATAGTGTATTGTGTGTGATTGTATTGCTGTTCAATATAAGGGAGATACAGTAGTTCGGGATGACTTTTCGACAGTAAGTGGAACATTCTAATATAATATGATATTAACTTTTAATGTATATT